ATGGATTGGGCATACACTGAGAAAGCCGACTGGGGACATTACGTGTCAGGCCCTCGAGTGGAATCCCCATGGGAAGCGACGAGTTGGACGTCCGAGGGTGACATGGAGGAGATGGTGCGAGGAGGAAATGAGAGCTTGTGGGCTGTCGTGGAACCAGGTTCAAAAGATTTCACAGAACAGAGTTCAATGGAGACGTGCTACTGAAGCCCTATGTTCCATTAGGAACCCAAGGGACTAATAATAATAACAATATTTCTGCGAAATCAAACCTCATGATTCTTCACAGCAGTATAACTAGCTGTGGAGCTCATGTCAAGCCGACGTCAACATTGGACCAGAATTACTTCATAACGGTCCAAGCTACCATGCCACACATCAGGACATACCATTCATAAAACTAGTTTATATCTACAGAAACCTATATGGAAAGATACTCAAGTGAGCCGGTCCCATCATGACTAGCCTGTTACTGACAACGTTTACCACTTCGCATGAATCTCTCAGTCAGCCACTACCATGGAATATTATGTTGTCAGAAGCACCTCCAAATGTCCTTACAGCAGTGTGTGGGGACTTCGAGGTAAGATGGCGGAACTACTATCTCCCTATTCCTGCATCGCTCCAGAGACTATAATCCTGACAGAGACTTGGTTATCAACAGATATTAGCAGCGTCGAAGCTGGTATAGACGGCGTGCACCTGCTTAGAAGAGGCAAGCGACACAGATGTACAGCCATTGTTACAAACCAATAATAGGGTTAGATAGGGCTGTCCGATTTCGTCATTCATCTTTACCTTTTCCTTTGATCAGATTCTCGAAGGCAATGTGTGGCAGCAGTGTAGATGTGTTACCAAGCAAAAGACTTTTCGAACTTGAGTAGGTGGATGATACTGCTTTACTGTGTGATAGTACACAGGGTACTCAAATTGCACTTAAGTTTCCGTATGATATTTGCATCACAACATCGAAATGCAAAGTGGTTCTGTAAGGTTGGCAATCGCCTGTACCTGACCTTACGACTTAGTTGTGAATCGCTGGGAATTTCAAAACGTTTATGGGCCTAATTAGATGTGTGACAGATTTTCCAACCATATATCGAAAGCTAGAGTGTATACGCCTTTGAAATGTGAAATGGATATAAAACGCGTCGGTGCATGCAGTTCTGATTTACGCATTTGAAACCTGACTTCTCCGGACTGAGGTTGTCCGATGTCTCTGCGGTTTTTATCCCCAGTACCTCAACAAGATTGCACACATTCGGTGGCAACACTATGTAAGTAATCCCGAGAAAAGGCAGTGTGTTTGGGCATGATGGATTTCATTTATTCAATACGGACTTCATTGGCTCGGACATGTGTTGCGCATATTGTCTCGGTGGCTCCGATACCGCTTACTTTTTGCTTACCCTTAAACTGGTTGGAAGGAGTGGAGAGGTGACTAGTGTATGAAGTGGTGTCATGGAATGATAGATGATTGTGGTAGATAGATGAGTTGCTCAAACTAGATACCACTCCTTACATTTCAGAAAACGTATTGACTGGAAGAAAAAGAGGGGACATAATGTTAGGATTACTAATGCATGCAGAACAGTGAAGATTGATAGTGATTTAATCTCTCCAATAACAACTTTTGAATTTCCCGAAATTTACCAAAACAAAGTAACTATATTTCTATAGAATTTTGTAGACATATGAACAACAATAAAAACAATGGGTAGCTTGTGATGCGACTCAAATAATGACTTCAACTAAGGGGTCGCAGATGAGACACCTAGAAATTCGAAAAGCCATACTCGGTCAGTGCATATGGTGGCACTGGTTTTCATACTTATACTTCACTGGCCAGTAGCCTTGGTGACAATGAAAACATCCATTTAACGAAATGTACTCACTCATTGTATAAACTGTCTTACTAAAAAGACTGACAGACAGAAATATAATCACACATAGAAATGCATTCCACCTGAAAATGATACAGCAATTGAGAAATATAGGGATTATTTGGATCATGAGAGACATGGACATAAACAAACCGAGAGAGAATCTCGTACAGAAGTGCAGCAGTATGCCAATAACAAGAGAAACAGGAATATAAAAGTAAATAAAAGTTTTGATGGTGTAACGGGAAGCCAAAGTTCATCTGAACAATGTGATGTATTTGCGCAATACATTTTGAGCAGTCTGACTACACATTTACTTACGTGTCAAGTGAATTTACAAAAAACTAAAGAATGGGAGAACAAATGGAAAAATTAAGATAATCAGGGATTAAAGTTGAGAATATTTCATCCTTATCTTGGTAGGAAAACAAAGTCTACAAAAGCAGGTATATTGTTAGGATACTAGTCACACCAACAGTAAGACGCTTCATGGACTGGTGCCACATATTGGTTTGGTTACCCTAAGCCTTCATACAAACCAACCCTACGTCGGCTAATATCGCAGGTCGAGGTAGGTGACATGTGTAACATATGTTCAAACCACGATACTCGGTAAAGGTTCACAACCTCGTCGACTGACTCGCTTTCCTTACCGAGCCACGTAGGGAAATGCAGACATCTCAATTCATGTCCACATGATAACCGATATCAGATGTTGGAGAATTTAGGTGATATGTTTCCGAATTGATTTCAATAGTGCGAACCTCTCCACACATTTTCTCCATCTTAGAAGCTAGACCGAACTTCCTTATTGTTCCACTCCTCCTCGTTTTCGTCAACGACTTTCTACCACTTTGAATACTTCCTTTTTCACCTCTCTATCCTTCACCTAGTTATCTTCCATGTTTTTGTGCCGACGTAAGTTATGACAACTTAAACCGTTAGGTAGCAATGTGAGGTCTCACGCTGTTGCTAACTAACGTAATACCCTATGGTTAAACTCTATATTAGTAACATGGTAATCCCACCACATGGGAGTAAATGATACGAAGACGTGTGATCAAAAACCTTTGATCTCCTCATCTTTTCTCAGGAGCAAAGTGAGTAGGGGAAAAATAAGTATAGAGTGAGAAGATATTATATATTATGCGAAGGAAAGTTCGCTCATTTAAACTATACTTAATATACTAAATTTTTTTTTCAACTATTTAGTAATTGTAACCTCGCCTAGTTAACTAGTTCACTAGTTACTACCCGGTCCTAAGCCCGGATAAAGAGGAAAGGTTGGACATACGGCTAGCAAACCCGACCCGGCAAACCAATTCAGTCGCTAAAGAAACTTCAAAGCACAAAGAAAACATAAAAAATAAAAATAAACCTATTCCTTGCTGGGATCGGAGAGACGAAATGGGGCCGGTTGGTGAAAACCTTCGCGAAGCAAATTCGCCGATAAGTCTTCTATTCTCTCGATGAAAGCAAAAGTAAACATAGGGACATGGATTGTCCGCACAGTGCTTGAAGACGGCTGGCTGGCAAGGCTGCCCAGATTGCAAAATAAATGAGAAGATACAACATAGAAGTGACACAAATCTGCGAGAGCAGATTTATGAAGAAGACGCCACATGCCAAGTAATTCACAGTGGAAAGCTCAGTGATGCCTTTGAAGTGAAGTGAAGACAGGAGTAAGACAGGCCTGCCTACTATCACCGACCATCTTCCTGATTGTGGTGGACTCAATCATGCAACAAACTATGAGGAGCGAGAAGATGGGGTACGCTGGCTGGACTGATGAAAAGACCCCAGAAGATTTGGATTTCGCCGATGATGATTTATATCTAATGTCGCACAAACTCGAAGATCTACAGGTGAAAACCAACAAGTTGACAGAAGAGGCGAAGTAGTGAAGACGGACTTCAAGTGAATGTAGAGAAGATAGAGCTGATGAAGATACCCAACCAACCAACCAACAACAACAAGCACCAATCACCATCAACGGGAGAAACCTAAAGGAAGTTGTCTCTTTCACCTACCTAGGCAGCATTGTTTCAACTACAGCCGGCGGCGGCACAGAAGAAGACGTCAAAGCCGGGATCAGAAAAGAAAGACAGGCCTTCACTAACCTGAAATCAGTGTAGAGATCTGCTGCACTCAGCACAACGAACAAGATCCGGATTTTCAACACCAACGTAAAGTCAGTGCTTCTATATGGTTCGGAAACTTGGAGAACTACAGACATTAATCAACAGCTACCGACTACGCCCACTCGATACTGAAGATCAGATGGCAACAACAATAAGAATGAGCAACAACAAACTCTCGTCGGGAAACGAACCAACTAAAAGCCCATTGACCAACAAATATACAGAAGAAAGTGGAGATGGATTGGACATACACTGAGAAGACCATTCGGAGACATCACGCGACAGGCCAGGCCCTCGAGTGGAACCCAGATGGGAAACGATGAGTTGGGCGTCCGAGGGTGACATGGAGGAGATGGTGTGAGGAAGAAACGAAAGCTCCTAGGCAGTCATGAAGCCAGGTTGAAAAGACTGCAGAGAACAGAGTGGGATGGAGACGTGCCACTGAAGCCTTATGTTCCCCTAGGAACCCAAGGGAAGAATAATAATTTGTGATTGTGCAGCAGGAGAATAATATCGCTGAAAAGAGACCCTCTTCACTGTTAGATGTCCAAAACTTGGAAGATAAGAAAAGAATACATCGAGAGCATTGAATCATGTCGACAATTCCAGAGATCCTACCTTTTTATGCAGAAGTGATTCAGAAGACTCAGATTTGAAATGCACGAACTTGCTTTTTTTTTTACAAACTATTCCAACTTTGCACTACGTATTAACTTCGTAAACAAACTTCTGTGATTGCAAACAATACCCTTTACTGCTATCCGCTGATACTTTTAAAAGACTTGATGATGTCATTATGGATTTAGTGAATCCTGCTTTTTTTAAGTTCTTTGCTTGTTCACTGACGAGCATTATGTTGCTGTAAAGTGCAACAACTGGAAATGATGCAGTGTTTCCAATATAATCTGGACTAAACTAATCAAGCAGAAAACCACAGTGTTCGTGAGTATACACCAATAAAGGTAAGAAATATATTTACTTGATTACTTGTGCAACGGTATTTGGACCAAACCAACTTCCAATGGATTTTCCAACTGATACACCAGTTAGAGCTACAGAAAACAGAAAACCAAAATACGGACAAATATAGCACATTTATTTAGCAAACTATTGTGAGAGACAATATTCTTTGTCATTTTCCGTAAAGAAAGAAACTTAACTCCAGCTATAATTCACAGAAAACAACAGTAACAGCTAAGCATAAAATAGAAATATCCGGAAATAAACGTGTCCGCTCAAATATTTTCGCGATTGTAATTAATTTTGGTCAGCAAACTGAACTTTATGTTTACAGGACGATGATTAGACTAGAAGAAAATCCTGGATTATGATAGGATTCTATCTGTTTCAAAGCTCAGGTTGCCTTAAACCGGATCATCGTGTACATAACGCTTTATCAATTCAAAGTTTGGTAAAGTAGAAATTCGGTTCCAGATACACCTGAGGTGCAGTACCATGCTAATGCTGCTTTCCTTATGGAAGGTGGTGGGTTAGTAAAGCCCCAAAAGTAGCACGCTCCTCCATTCCCTGGAGTATTCCGGTGCGGAATTTATGGGTTTTAGCCACTCAGGGCTCCAAATAAGGATATGTGAGACGAGCAGATATTCTATGGGTTCTGCGGTCACACAAAACCACTCTGTTTCCTCTTCCAGGTTCTTTACAGGAACAACCACGTTGTAGGTGGTCTGGAAGTGCCAGCCACTCACACGCCTTTAGCAGTATGCAGGATACAGTTCAGAAAAAATATGATACTACCTGGCTGTTCAAATCTCGGTAGGTGGAGCAGGGGTTAAACCTGTGACCTACTGGTGGAAAGTCAATTGCCTAAGCCAATGAACCACAACTCCATGAAACAGTGGCAAGACAGTTGGTAACCTATACTTGAAGGCTAGCAAACATCATTGGATTTCCATTTTCATCCAAATTGGTTAAAACGAGAAGACTGATCCCAGCTGCCTCCGGCTGCAATGAGGAACGAAAGTAACTTAAACGTAAATTGACTAAGAGTCTTCGCAATGTTCGCAAGCAGTGGCAGGTGACGAGAGGCTTATTAAGGATTCCGGTAAGAAGAAGACGGTGGTTAGTGAAATCATTACCAAGGAGAACGATAGGATGCTAATAACTTCGCCGAACAAGCAGCTGCAACGTTTGGCCGAATACTTTGAACCACAGCTGAAGTGGCTAAACGTCAGGCTTTGGTTACCCAGTATCCAGCCCAAGCCTGGATGAGAAGTAGGTAACGGTTCTCCAATATTCTTGAACGTGAAAAAGCTGTTTTAATCTTGAAACGATGTAATGCAGCAGGATCTGACACTTTACCACCTGAAGTTCTCAATGATTGAGGTGGGAAATCGCTGGGCACAGTATTGGGTTCACTAGGTTTTGTTTAGGAATAAGAGGTAGCCCCATCGGATTCACCTACTTCACTGATCATTCTGGTTTACTGGGAAGGAGAAGAGTCTTCTAGTCACTGCTATGGAGGAATCAAATGGACAAACGACATGTCCAAGATCCGATGGTTCATATTTATCCGACGCCTAACTGGAGTTCAAGAATAGCAAACATGTAAAATCACCGAGGTTTTAGATCTGGATGAAAGGCATCAATCAGATTTTCACTCTTCGACTGGTTCTGGAAGACAGCTACACTTACCGGCGACCGACATTTGTCATGTTTTTTGATCTGAAGGCGGTATTTGCTCCTGTCAACCGTGAGGTGTTGTGACAGTGTCTCACGATGAAAGGAGTAACGAGAAAGTATATGACGCTAATCAAACCTCTTTACTCGAACTCACACAGCTATGTAAGGGCTTATGTGGAGTTATCATTTGAACTAATAACGGTCAGTGGTGTCTTCCAGGGATGCCTCTTGTCATCGTTCCCGTTCAACATTCTTGTATATGCATTAATGGACATAACCCTAGGTATATGTGACTTCACAGAGATTGACCTGCTCATCACTGGAGGTCATCTGCTTGGCTTGGAGTATGCAGATGATGTTATCCTGCTGGATGAAAACACTAGCAAAATGCAGGATCTACTGGACGCGTTGAACGAAAATCTGAGTATGTTTGGCATGGGTCTCGCACCTGTCAAATGTAAGATGATTTTCCAGGACTGGTCTGCAACTACTCCCAGTTTCAAGATAGGGGTGTGAAGTGGTGGAATGTGTCGACCACTTTACTTACTTGGAGAATTGCATCAGCCCATTAAACGGGTTGGTTGCTGACGAAATCTCAGCTCGGATGCAGAAGGTCCTTTTGGCATTCGCCAATTCGCGTCATCTGTGGTGACAACTAGCGAGATATCCGGCTACCTACTAAGGGAGCACACTGTGCTGCAGCTCGTTCTGTCCTGTTATACAGCCGTTAGACATAGCCGTTGAAAGTAGAAGGTATTAAGCGGTTACAGCTTTTTGACCATAGATGTCTTCGTAGCATCTCACGTTTGGTGGAATCAGTGTGTGAGCAGTGTTGAGTTTAGGTGAAGGGTAATAGGCATGATAGACAAATCAATTGATCAGGTTGTGAACTTTAGTCGAGTGAGGTGGATTGGACATATGTTACACATGCCGAGTTACCGCCTACTTCGATGGGTCATGCTACAGGACTAGGTTGGAAGAGAGTTCATGGTGGCCAGACCGAAACGTGGCACCAGTCCATGAAGTCTCTGGTTGTTAGTCTGAGTCATGTAAGGAGGTGTAGACTACCTGGCTGGGGTCTGTAAGACGATAGGAATCAGTGGTTGGAGAACCTTGGTGACATAGATGAAAATCCGTCACAGTAATGCAGATGATTTCACTCCTTGACATCTTCTAAAACTAAAACATTTTGATGAACCTTGGTTTTCGAATTCTTTTCTGTCATGCACCTAAGTCTGCTTTGATATCACTCCCTTTCCTCTCACTTGTGCTTTGCATACAGCTGCGAAGTACGGCAGTCTGAACCGATGCACTTTGGTGTGGGTATCTGAGTTGATTTTGCCTGATGATAATACATGGCTGATCGAAATCAATACCCACTGGCTGAAACTCAAATGCGTAATCAAAAAAGCCAAAACTTCATGTACAAAACAGGAGGTTGACACAAGCTAGTTTATGATTACTGAATTCAGGTTTGTATAACATGTAATTGATGTAAGAAATACTATCAACAAATATTTTTACTAAAATGGTAGTACAATTGATTTACAAAATAAATGCAATTTTATACCCACTTATAGTTTGAATAGAGTAAAGTGCAGATCGACGATCCTGAAACATTTGCAAAATACGATAATATTCAGGATTTTCTTGATCAGAACTCCATTTCCAGGCTAAAAGATTTTTAAAAAATAAAATAACGATGAACCAACTATATAGTCCAAACAAAACTAGACCATATTATTAATATGATGATAAGTCAGTAGCCGAATGAGACCAAGCAACATAGTATTTAGTTTGTTTTTTGGTACCAACAGGCTATAACTTTAAGTTCTCCTCTATGCTCTAGTTCAGTGAGGCGTGTTAACATTTTTTTTATTAGGTCGACAATTCTCGTATGACTGAAATGAATGGGTCAAAGGCACAAATAAAGAGCCAATTGCGTCGTGTTGATGAACAGGAAAATGCTTGGGACAGAAGAGGAATTCTTAACAAATCGTTAACGGATTTCAATGTTTATTTGATGTAGCACACAGCGAATAAAACTGTCACTATTTAGAAACAATCAGTCTGAACAACAGACCAGCTAACCAACAAAACAAAGACAGAAATTCCTACATGTACCATTTGACAATATACATATATGTTACTGTGTGCTACATCTAACAAACAAACTAATATGGAGTTAAACTACACCACAGTGCCCGAGTTTTACTCACACTGATTTTACTAAGTGAGCGAAAATTCTCACAAATGGTGTACAATGACAGATGTAAAGTGATGACTAGTGCTGAAAAATCTGTACTGACAGTTAGGTGAATCCCGTGTTCCTTGGGAAATTGAGATGCACCATTTCAACGGAAATTTGTGTACAAACTCAACAGTGAAAAGCGGATTGTTTACATACCATCAGTTCTGAAACTTTAGAACCAAGAATAACTTTACTTAAAACCTTGCTAAAAACGAGGGATGCCATGAACCCCTGAGCATTGACAAGTTATTGATAGCCCATCTCCATAATGGTTGGTCTTACGTGTAACAAATTTCACGGTGTATAACGTATACCAAATTTTACTCCTAAAATAGAAAATTCGAAATAAGGTCACTGGAAATGTCAGTGGTATGATGAAAACACCTTGCTTAGATCATATTCTAGTATGGTAAGCAGTACATATCTGTTCGTAAACCTTCTATAATGTCATAAATTAATACATTACAATAACAACAGCTTTTGATCTGTTATAGTTGAACGTCAACGAAAAACGCATCTAAATTTGTACATTTCACATTATTTTGTATAGTAGGTGTGCTTAACAATCTCAGACAGATGGTGGTCTTCAGAGAAATATGAAACCCCTTTGAGAGACGGTTTTGGTAATATAGTACATATTAAGGTTGTTTGTATTTCGCTACAGTTGGATAATATGAATTACACCTGCCCACTAGTTAGCTTAAGCCTACGGAACATAAGTCATTGCGTTTTTACCGAACGGCACCTTATTGGGTTTCACTTTAAGCGTCAGACAGATAGTACAGGATAATAAAAGGTTACAATAATGTTTTGGTTTCTGCGTAGGACCGTTTGTTGATCTAATTGTACGAATGCCCAAAGATATTTCAGTAGTGTACGCGGATGAATAAGGATGAATCATACAAGCATTTAGAAGTCACTACATACCTCCAACTTCCAGTTTCAAGAACTCTTCCAACGTTGCAATCGAATCACGCCAGTATGTTTATAAACCCACCTAAGTAGCCGGAATCGGGGTGACGTGAACGAATAGATTATTTCGGGTAAATCAATCCAGGTACACTGACTAGACCGGCTCCGAATTAGCAAACCAATAGTCGTTTTTTTACTCATGTCGATCAGTAGAAGATAGCGTTACATGTAACGTTACATTTCTGAACACTTTCTTAGAACAGAAAACCTTTTAGTATTCCTTGATTCCCAACAGGAGCATGACTAATACAGTTTGCAGTGAGAACGACCTTCAAATATTCTCATGTGCAAATATTCTAAATTCCTAGTGAATATGAGCCGGTATATCATGTATTATAGTTTTGAAAGATTTACTGTTGTAACGATATCATAGTTCTTATACAATAGTGGAGATTTTACGTCAAACATGATACAAAGAATTCGACTTTTTAAACCATGAAGTGCAAAATTTTCCAAAAAAAACTAGTTTTAAACATTTCCATCTTAAAAATGGTAACTAAATTGCTCTTCTAATCTCAAAACGTTACATAATGCATTATAATGTACAATTAATGAGCATAAATAAACAATAATTAATATTAGCATACTTCGTCCAAGATGGAATCTTAACATGGCCTCAGCAAGAATCATCTGTCCACAGCGATGCATACAACCCCAGCCTGCATCTGACTTAGGACCATTTCGACTGCCGATTGGAGAGAAACCCTTTCTGTAAGTCATCCATAATCGAGATTTCAAATGGCAAGCGATTTCCTCCTTCTCTGGAAAAGCGTTAAAGTGACATTAAAAAGGTGATATTTGCAGTTTTAGGTGGAAAACTGTAACAGCACGCTTGAGCAATAGTATATCATGAGTGCTTCACGCTCAATTTTTTTATAAAACGATCTTTTTAAGTTGATTTGTACTTCTTACTTGTATTTTCCAAGCAATTAGGCTGCAAGCAACTCGCTCAATTTAAATTAGATTCAGTATCCTCCAACATTTTGAATACAGAAAAGGCTGATTAGAAACTTATGAATAGGAAAATGTTCAATATGGTAACTGCCCTACTAAATAGATGGTGCTAATTTCAGAAGTCTGAGAGTAATGGTCAAATAATAGAGTGCTAACTACGAAGTTTGACTGTTGGTCTGAACTGTGACAATCTAAGTCGATGGTTTACGTAAATTCTGCTTCTACTGTGCCACACTTCATTAATCTTGATTTCACGCGCCATCTATACATTACTTTTATGACTAATCGTTTCTATCCTTTTAATTTTTCCCTAGTTCCTCTCATTCTGCTACGTTGGAGTGAGATGTGGCATCTTGGACAGACACAAATCTCTTACCATCTTTTACTGATAAATAGATTATGTTGAGACATGTTGTCGTACGCCACAATGGATTAAACTCCATGAAAAGTGTACAGCTGTGACACGCGTTGTAGGTAGAAAATTGACAGTATTGTGAAGTTAGTCATTACCAAAGTGAATTTCACACAGATCTTGAATCGTTAGATCTAACCTTACATCAGATCATTGAAAAAATCAGATTCAACTTAAACATCACGCACAGTAAACACAAAACACAGAAGTAAGAGTAAAAACAAAACAGTGGAAATTGTACAGCATTCGCGCAAGACTGTGACTTATTCATTGAATCAGAGTTACTAAATCTAGTCGCATGATTTGACGAATGTTGCATGCTCCCCACGCCGTGTACTGCCTTTTCACTTAGGTTTGGGCAGCCAGGTAGCATCAAAAGCTTTGAAACAAAAAATGTGGCTCATAGTTTGGTAAAAACTTTGGTACCGTTACGAGGTGTATAAAGTCATGTTTCGCTTCATCAAAAAAACTGAGGTATTTTCTATCCTTTTGACGCTACCAATTTAAAGAATCTAAAAAAGTTGTAGAATCAAAAAAAAACTCATGCTACGGTAAAATAAGTCTTTCACTACCTATGATGTGATCAGTCAGAAGCGAGTGGGCCATGTAATGACTTATGCTAGGTTTAAGATTTAGAGACTTTGTTCCTATAAGGTGTGCAGTATCTGAAAAGACAAACTTGTAGTGAGAAACAAAATTTGCAAGTGACCATGGAGTATGGTGAAAGTGAGAAAGTCAGCAATTATATTTAAAAAGTTAGGTAGTTGCGAAGGCCTTGTAATTGGATTTGCAAAGCTGTGATTTAGCTGTTAGGGTTTTATTTGTTACTAACACCATTAAAACAGCACCAGGGCTGAAAAGGAAACATACTCCTTGGCTTTCTAGCTGCTTAATGTCTTAAAGGATACCTAGAAGTCAATTGAGAACAGATGTTAGAAAGTTAGAGTTAGGGTCATGGTTTGGCATTACAGTGATAGGCCACAAAAAGTTAACTTTCTATTCAGGATCTATTTGACTTCAGGTGATAAAACGTGTGTAGATAATCCTTACACATCCCACAACTAGTGCCAAATCACTATGTGGATGTTTATTATTATTTGACCAAATTTATACTTAAACATTAGATATTCACTGGTTCGAACGCAGTATGGAAGGTTACCACGAGTCGTGGAAGCTCGGTACGAATTTCAATTCAATCAGGATAGCCCAGGTTAGAATATATTTGGTTCCCAATCTTGAACACTTAGCAGCGTTTTCTATACATGGATTTTTAAAACAAAATAACATGTACAAAGTTGACGTATGACTACTAACTTACAACCTATTCACGCTACCAATCGACTAGACACACCTGATTGCAGCATAACTAAGTACTGAATCAGACCGAACATAACAAAATCCTGATTTCTCCGCATGAATTTTAGTCGTATTTAACCCTCACTTTCATACACAGAAAGACTTTTTACACATCATTAGAGTTCTCGACAATTTAAGTTCCACTGTTTTAATGAAACGGGGTGGTAAATAACATTTGGTACCGAAACCCGAAAAACTGTAAAAGTGTGTGATGAACAAGTACTTACCATCTTTCGAGTCGTATTTACATCCCAATATGTAGACCGGTTTAGAAACGTTAGGAAGGTATGGGTGATCAGGAGTAGAGCCCGAATAATTGAAAAGTGCTACAAAAGTTGCGCTTAGAGATATTTTACAAACCTTCCCACTGTGAATCCATAGTTTATCAGTACTGCGGAGCGACTATTTTCACATACTTTTTGCTAGATTGTAACGAGCCTATCAAAAGACCCGCGTCCAATATTCATTCTCAGATGCCAGTTACAAGTATAGTAGGCCAGTTGGCCTGTGTTGATCCTTGCAGAATATACCTCTCTGAAGATCTAATTTCTCCTTCAACGCGTTGACAGAAGGCGCTGATACTTTCTGCTGAGATCAGGAGTTCCAGGCGTTGACAACACGATGGGAGAAACGCAGATTCACCCTAAGTTGATTCGATCGCGGTTTTTGAATTTTCTTGTGATGCCGTAGGAGATATTCAGTCCTAGCAGGGGATAGAAGATAGGATATACCAGTACCAAAGTCATTATTAAGGATACGAAATGCCATTATGAGATCACTCCGTCTTCTACGATAAGACAGTGGGAATAAGTATAGCTGATCTAATCGTTCCTCATAGAACAGATTTGAAATGCCTGCCACAAGCTTAGTACCTACCCTTTGAACACCCTCGAGTGCGTGAGCATCCCTTTTTAGGCATGGGCTGGCCGCCTGAATGCAGTATTCCAAGTGAGGTCTAACGTAAGTAGATCAGAGTATTCTTAATATGTCCTGATCAAAACTTGCGAAAGTTCTGCGGAAGGACCATAATACACGGAAGCCGTTTGCTGCATCATGACTAATGGTGACACCGAAGTCTTTTAGTTCGAAGACTGGGAGTAGTGGTGTACCATGAACGGAATACTGGAAACAATTGCTGTGATCAATGTGCATAATTACGCTTTTGTTAGAGTTGATTTCCAGGTACCAACGTTTGGACCAACCTACTAGTTCATCTAAATGCGCTTGAAGTGCATACCTGTCTGCATCACTGCGTATGGCTCTCCTAATCTTCACATCACCAGTGAAGAACAGTACCGAAGAGTTGAGCATTTTTAGCAATTCGTTGATAGATAACAAGAAAAGTGGTGGACCTAGGATTGTCCCTTGAGGAACTCCACTCATCACAGGTTTCCACCAGGATAGTATCCCATTCACCCTTACGCTTCGCCTTCTATCGTACATAAAGTCTCTAATCCAAGCTTGCAGTGAAGCACCAAACCCGAAGGAGGAGAACTTCCCAAGTGATTTCACATGCGACACTTTGTCGAATGACATACTGAAGTCTGCAAACACGGCATCTATTGGCAGCTTGCAATCATGGGCCGCAATCCATTCCTCTCTTGCGATAAGGAGGTCAGTTGGACAGGGTGACATGAGGAACGTCGTGGAGCCAAACAAGGAATATATGGCGTCGTTACCTCTTCAAATGGAGTCCTAAATCCATTTCTCTCTTACGATAAGGAGGTCAGTTGGACAGGAGTGTCCAGTATGAAAATCATGTTGTTGTGGGGCCAAAAGCTTGGTTTATTCAAAATGTTTAAGTGCCTTATCACGAATTATTTTTTCTGAAATCCTAATAACTATGCTAGTTAGACTCACAGGGCAGTAGTTAGACACCAAATGACGGTTACCTATCTTAAAGACTGGGCTGATTATGGCGTCTTTCCAGTCTCCAGTAGGGGTTCTGAGTTAGGGGCATATTGAAAAGATCCATGACTGGCTCAGCAATAATAAATGCCAGCGAAGATAGAAGCCTGGAATGTGGCTCGTTGGGATCTGATGATCTTCCAGGTTAAAGATTAATGGAAAACTGTAAGACTCTTTGCCTTGTTGTGAACACAGTATCCATTAGTGGAACAGTTCTGACACCACTAGTGGGCACCCCATCATCATAATCTACAGAGTGGACTTCACTAAAGTAATCCGATGGACACTCAGCTCTGGACAGATTTCATTCCGTCAGGTCATCGGACTTTTCATGCGTCGCCAGAGAAGGAACTCCACATTTTCTTTTGGTTCTGCTGATTAATGCAAACAGTCTTCTAGGACAATTTCGGCAATTTCCCACAATCTGTTTCGCGTGGGACATTCGAGACAGTGTAACCAAAATTTTGCAGAGATTACGAACTTCACAGTACCCAGTCTTAAATGTCCCCAGTTTGGTTTCTAGAAACAAGTCTTATGAACCTTTCCTCCGCCTTAATAGTTTCTTAATGCCTCTATTACACCACTGAGGGTGACATGAGGATCGTCGTGGAGCCAAACAAGGAATACATGGCGTCGTTACCTCTTCAGGCGGAGTCCTAAACCTATTCCATGCCTTCTCAGTCGATGAGTCCCTGTCGACGGTCGACTGACTGAGCAGTCCCTCATACTTGAAATGTCTGCGCATACATTAAGTCTAGGGGAAGCAGTGTCATAACCAAACTCATTGGTCCAAAAACCAAAGGTTAGCACTACACGGTCGCTGCCAGCTACTGGAGGGAAGTGTCACAGATAGAGGATAGTTCACAGATTAGGACCTCGAGGTCCGTCTTTTTACTTCTGGCACTGCTAACGTTAGTGTAGATTATTTTCACTGCGTTGGGAGAGTTTCACGACCCACAAATACAGGCTTTGGAAGCATTCGCTTCTAAGACCTCACAACCTGAAAACCCACTATTTTAGGATCATTTCCTCATTATTTTGTCGGGCCTTAAGTTCGGCGACAGTTTCTATTCCTTATATGTGGTCCTCAAGAGGCCAGTCAGGTCGGATGCGGATGTCTGAATTTCGTGGCCTGGATACGTTACCCATCCCTGTTGCCCAATAAGACCTTTAAAATCCTCTTTTCATCAAATTTTTCTCCGTCTTTTCGCCTAGCCCAACTACTTTGGAGATATATACCCCTTCGGGCTTTTCGGAAGAATACATCTGACGGCCGACTCGACTAGTTTTAGGTCATGGCCGTGACATATTGAAGCGCCTTTGTCTGATGGCTCCTTAACATCCCAGAAGATCACACTGGGCTTTGGAGAGAAATCCTTGAATCGTGTGTTGACGACCTTCGAAACCTTCTCAATAGGTTTCATAGGCTTAGTAGTCTCAGTGACAACCTTTGGCGGCCCCTTCGAATGCTTTGTTGGAAAAATCCATGCAGATTCGTCGACCACTTTTATAGAGTCAACGCTCTTAGCAGAGAAGCAGTCTTTTGGTGAGTCCTCAGGCATTATAATTGGTGTACCATTGGCCCTCGGTTTTCTCTTGCGTTGAGTACACTTCGGAACTGATGTATTTTCACGAACTGGATCGCTGGCATCCATCAGTCCATTGAGAGATCCTGTGTCAGATATATTAACAATAACACTTTCAGCGTCGTCATCTGATGCCGCGTTAGAATGGCAGCTCTCATTTCCACATAGCCGTTTGTTGACAAGTAATATTTCAACGGATTCCAGGAATTACGTCTGACAGTGGCTCGCAGCAGAAATCACATAATCAGGGAGAAGCTGCTTCACTGCAGCGCTTGCACAAATTGGTGTCAATCTGGCACAAGCTTTGTGGAACCAACGTCCACATGCATCACATTGCATACCTTCACCCATCAGAGATTTACAGCTGGGACGACAGCAAACAAGCTTATCGCCAACCATGTTATTCACTGGTACCGTGTACTAACCGAAGCATTCGGCCGAAATTTCCACATAAGGACCTGAGTTGTAACAACACGAGGGCCAACCTCAAGCCTCAAAAAGTGAGTAAACTTCAAGCGCTGACCCAAGTAATTCAAGTCAAGGTTTGTAAGAAGGCCTTTGGTGTGGATTACACAACCAAAGCGAAAATGTCAAGAGCGTGACAAAGCTCACTTCCTGTTTTCAGAGTGCGCACGTTGCAGTATCAAATCTGTTTTAGGCTGCGATAGAGAGGATAGTTAGCTGTTAACCTGCGTCAACCTCTTCGGTAGTTATCGCTACTAAAGTCAAGTTTCCACTGAATTTGTACACCTTAGAGACTGCTACCACTTGTTTTGGTTTGGATTGCAGTCTTCACGATTATGAATTTGGCTCTAATGGTACAAATGGCTGCTGAAGGAGTAAAAGAAGTTTTCGCTTCACTGGCCTCAGTGTCTGACATTCGCGGATTTCATTTTGATGTGGTTGTTGATGTCTGCAAGTAAAGAGAGAGGAAAGTGGCAGTGAAAGTGTGAAAATTCAGTCGGTTCTAGTCAGACGCCAGCTAGATGTCAACCAAGTATCCAACTGGCGTTTGAAGGATTCGGACGAAGTAACCTAGATCGCGCCTGGGAAAACAGCATTCTTGGGTTTAGCGGCTCCCAGGGAATATGGCTTGTGCTTGATATCTAACCCGCTACGTTCTAGGCTTATTTTCTGTGCGTGTCCGGCGATATTATTTCTACGGATGAGATTCTGTAAATGACGGAGCAGGTTTCCAGGAGAGCTCATAATGTCACCATCAAATCTCGTCTTAGCCCCTTGTGTTTCAAGGGATACAGACCCAGCGCAACCAGTTGTTCTTCATACGTTTTAGACCCAGGTCTTCGAACAGGCTTGATCGAGCACCTCTAGGTGCTTTCTGGGTTTAATTTGTCCTTTTGCAGAGAAAAGGTAAGACGATGATCTCAAACTCCGGGTGGGCCCTCAATTAAGCTGTTGAAAGTGTGGTCGAAACGTTCACGATCGAAATGTCTAAAAATTCATCTAAGTGTTCTTAGAGCTGACTTTCCGTGAAACGTATTTCTATCTCAGTCGGCTTAGGTCCTGAGGGACCAAAAAGCCAAAATCCTTCTCGGTCAGCGACGCTTCGGGCTCTGTGCTTTTGAGTTATGTGCATGAAATACATCATGTTTTTTGTGTAACACCTTGGGTTTTTCAGGATTTTATGCAAGCCCATTACTTACTGCCCAGTTTTGAAGTTGGGTCAAGTTTTCCTGCAAAGAAACCCCGCCTTCCTCACCTTAGGTTTCTCTCCAACGTTTCACGTCTTGGGCGAAAAGAAGGATTTAGGAAGAAACTCTCTGAGGCAGGTCACTTATGCACATCAGAAAGAGGAGAGACCAAATACTGAACCCCACTGAACCCACTGGAAAATTATTTTCTCACACGTGGCGAAACTCATTTGGACTCTAAATGAACTGCCTCGCAGATATGGAGACAGCCGGTCAGTGAGCGGTGGTCTTATCCCGAATAGTTTAAGTTTACCG